TGCATGCATGGCTACATACATACATACATACATACATACCTACCTACCTACATACATACATACATACATACATACATACATACATACATACATGCATGCATGCATGCATGCATACATGCATGCATGGTTGCATGCATAGTTGCATACAATCACATGCACACATGCATGCATACATACATAGGTACATACATACATACATACATACATACATGCATGCATAGTTGCATGCATAGTTGCATACAATCACATACGCACATGCATGCATACATACATACATACATACATACATACATACATACATAGTTGCATACGATCACATGCTTACATACACACATGCATACACATATACATACATTGACATCCATAATGCATGCATGCATGCATGCATGCATACTTTCTTACTTGCTTGCTTACTTACTTACTTACTGCTTACTTACATAGCTACATGCATACATAGATAGTTGCAGACAGTTGCAGACATTCATCCGTCCATACATATACAGATAGATTGATATAGGTACAGTACTGCATACATATATGCATGCATGCATACAAACACATAGACAAGCACATATGCACCATGGGGAGCCCACACACAGACGCACGCATTTCCACAACCATCATAGAGAGATCGGCATACGGACAGGTATAATCAGACAGATGGATAGATACATGCATGCGAATACGTGTATGCGTGTTGTGCATATATAGTACACACACACACACGATAAGCGAAGACGAAACTGGGTTTATCGGCAATAATATGTGGCAGTCCCGAACCCCTAAATAAGCACAATCTCCGAACTCGAAGCCTTGAACCCCGGCCCTAAGCAAAAATGCCGAAAGCTGTATACACGAGGGGTCTGAATAGCTGGCAATAGAGCCGTTTGTACTTCTTTTTGTCCGTGTATAAATATATGTACATACTGTGTGTGATTTTACCACAACGTACGGAGAGGAACTTGTTAGAAAAGGTCCCAGCATCGCGTAATCCTGTGCTTTCTGTCAATTGCGGTGTTGAAGCTCAGAGAATTGGGGGCCTCCATTCCAGCCTTTTCATGCTTTCATGCTTTTGAATCGGGGCGCAAGGCTGTAGATTAAGTTTTGCAGGTTCTACTGTTCTGGGTTGAGCTTTCATGGCCTCAGGGCGATTGAGTTTACTCAAGTTCCTTAAGGTCTTCTAGCTGATTGCCAGAAGAAGCCCTTCACGCAGAGCTTAGAGACCCCCCCCAAACAAAGCAAAAGCAAGAACCATAAACCCTACCTTAAGAACCCAAAACCTACCTTTTTGTAGGGTCCCTATAAATCCCATATTAGGGTTATATAAGAACCTCCAAAAAAGTGGGTTTTGGGTTCTTAAGGTAAGCACAGAAGGGCCACGGGGATCTTTGGGAGTTCGGCGGACCGAAAAAGGAGCGCTTAAAGCAAAAACACAGAATGCTGGGGCCCATTATACTATAATTCTAATAAGGAGCCCCTAAAATAATATAGGTAATTATTAAGGCCCCTACATTAGGCTTGCCGGGAGTTGACTTTTTAAGGCGACCGGGGTTTAGGGTTGTAGTCGGGTTGAAGAGCTCAGGTTTATCCTGGTCTGGGGTTCCTGGCGCCGCCTACCGCTGCACTCTGAAGCCTAAACCCTAAGCCCCAAAGATGAGGAACGGAACCCAAACAGGATGTAAGCATAAGCATTTTACATGGATATCCCTACCTTATGGGGCTTCATTACACGGGGGGCTTATGTTGGGGCGCGAAAAGACTTGAAGGAGCCTTGAACCAAAATGCGTCACAGAAGAAACTCGGTCATCAGATCGTGCTCTCCACCAACATTGCAGAAGCGTCTGTGACCATCGACGACGCTGCTTGGCCTACAGATTTAAGGGTTTAGGGTTTTCAAAAACTGCTCGGTTGAACTCTGCTGAAAACCCTAAGCCCTGAGCCCCATCAAAGACGAGCGCCCCGAGCATAGGATGCTGGTAGGTTCAGCAGCAGCGACCCTTTGATATCGAAGCTGGGCTCAGTGCTTACTGCCAAAAATAGCGGCTAGGAGGGTTTAGGCTCTAGGGCTTAGGGTGTATAGGGCTTTGGTCTTCGGTCCCCGAGTGGTATCCATAATACTCCCTTTTCATGTTGGGGTCCGTCTATGCGCACTGAATTTCGGGGATAACGATACCTTTCTTATGCTACTGGGGCATTGAGGCACCCAGCCTTTACTCTCATGATCTGCATGCTATTTCCTGGAGGCCTGAGGGTGTAGCGCATCGTAGTCATAGTCGCATTATCAAGTATACCTCAAACCCTGTTTGACCTATTCTGACCCCCCAGTTTCGGGTTGGGGTTCACGGCTTCGATTTGGGTTGGGGTCCAGCGTTTAGAGCTTAAGCGTCTAGTGTTTAAAGTTTCTGGGCTCAAGGGTTTAAGGTCTCAGGCTTGTCGGGTTCAGGTTAGTGGCTATCAGGGCTTCAGTTCGCCCTGCAGTGAGAGCCAGGTCGTTTACGTCATCGACACCGGTGTGCGAAAAGAGCGCACTTACGACGCAGGCGGAGAAGTCTCTTATGGGCTTTAAACAGCCCTACATCCTTGGTCCTAAACCCTAAACCTAAACCCTAAACCTCCAAACACCTAAACCCCTAAACCCCTAAACCCCTAAACCCTAAACACCTAAACCCGAAACCCCTAAACCCCTAAACCCTAAACACCTAAACCCGAAACCCGTAAACCCCTAAACCCTAAGCACCTAAACCCGAAACCCGTAAACCCTTATCCCTAGGCCCCGAATCCCCTTCG